TTTGTCCTTATTCCCCCCAGTGACTTTAAGCATCCAGGTCTGTTCTGGTGCTGCTCAAACCTCCCAGTTTGTCAGGGGAGAAAGTCGTTGACCTGGCTCTCTCCCAAGAATCCTGCGGCAGACCTAGCTGGTGCTGGGCCTAGGGCTGCAGCAACCCTGGTCCCCACACTGGTCTCAGGGACCTTATTATCCCAAAGTAGTCTCCTTACCATCTGATTTTTCAATGTCCCTACAATTTTTGGCCTCCAACCTTCATATATGGGCAGATACCATTGGCTGTTCACTCTGTTCCTCCCAAGATCGGCTAGGTGTTCCACCTGTGCACAGGGGGAAGTGGACTCCACTCCTACCTATCTTACCACCATCTTCCTCATTCTTAAAGGTTTGCTTTTTGTGTTTAGCTGTACTGTAAAACTTGACAAATACATTTTTCATTTCTGAAGGAAAAATTCAAATTAAATCATGGGCCTTTTGTTTATGTAAAAAGAAAATGGAAGATTTAAAAAATTATTAACTGTTTCTGTTATAGACTCAACCTGTGACAAAACATTGTAAGCATGGTTGTACTTTCAGGGTGGAGTATAAAATTTTTGAATTGGCAACTAAAATGTAACTTACATCACTACAAAATGTAGTGAAAGACAGGTGGAAGAAAGTATAATATGCTAATTGTCTCATCTTTCATATCATGGATATCAAGAACTCCTGTCTACTTTTGATTCTTGGGGAAGGATTATAGCTGTGATTACAGGTTGATTGGCCATTGGAAGAGAGATACTCAAAAAATAAATGTTTTGGTCTAATACAGAGTTTTTCAACCTGGACACTACCAATATCTGGGTCAGATAATTACATTTTGTAGAGAGCTGTCATGTGCATTGTGAGATATTTAATAGCATCCCTGGCCACTATCCACTATCTAGTTGTGACAACTAAAATGTCTCCAGACTATGACAATAGTCCCCTGGCAGGTTTGGGGCCATTTGGAGGGTGGGGTTGGGTATTAGAATCACCCTCGTTGAGCACCACTTTTCTAATAATCCATCTAGCTACAGGACACAGTATAAAAGATAAAGCACCCTCATTTCATTGGGAGCTTCAACAGCTACCCAAGCACACAGCTTCTTTTGACCTCTCACCCACATTGAGTGCCTGTGGCTGCCAAAGATGAGAGCTAAGTTATGTGGAGGATCCCCTTGATCCACAGAAACTACTATCCTTCTTTTTTTTGCAAATCTTTTATGACCCCATAGCCTAAGAGGCCCAAGGCCCGCATATCAACAGCTCCCCAACCCAAGTTCCACACCACCAGTGAGGCCAATGCACCATTTCTGTTTTTAGTCACACTTTCTGAGGGGACAGTGCAGTGGAAGGCCAAGGTCAGGGAGGCCTCCAGGGTCCCAGGCCCATGTTAACTCTTTACTCACAAGAGAGAGAGAGAAAAATGATTGTATTATTTAGTCTTATATGAATGCATACGTATTCAAAAGAATTGAAGAAACAATGTAAAACTTTACAAAATTAAGATACATAGTGATCTTCATAATTATTAGAAGCAGAAATTGTGGGAGCTGAGACTTTCAATTTTCATTTTATACACTATTCTGCCATTTGATTTTTTAAAGCTATGTACCTTTATTAAAAAATATTGTAACAAAAATGGTTTTATTTTAAATAAAATTACAATAGGACCAGTTTTTTAAATGTCACATGACTAGACTTTTCTTTCTATGTTCCATTATACTTTCTTCTGTAACAAAATTGTCTCTGTTTTGAGAAATCACACAAAAAAACTTTGTTTTGTCTCAGTGCTACTTCATTTTTTAAAAGGTGCTGCAAATGAATAAAGATCATGCCTTCACCAATGAGCTGCATGTTCTCCCTTGGTGTCTTCTAAAATTTGCTGTTTAGAGTTCCATTAGAAACATTGGATTGAGTACATAGTTGATTATAAAGTATACCATCAAGTGTGGGCTGAATGATTAGCCCTTGACTATATTTGTGCACCTGAATATGCATCTTTTGTAAGCACTTGCTTATATATTGGTGACCATCAGACACCTACTAGATTTGTCACACAATGTACACATATATAGATCTAGAAGTGAAGGGGCCAGTCAAGAAATTGGCAAGGATCTCTGAGTGTGTCAAGTTGGAAATTGTGGTCTTTGTTGCATTGAGCCTGTTCCATTCAGGAGTTGGTGTGTGGGGTGAGGATAGGTCATAGGACCTGAGATAGTTGTCCCTTTGCTTTCAGGGAAGTCACAGACTGATGGTGGCTGGGGTGCAGGAGGGAGACAGGCATTTAACAAATATTTTCTTAAGTGTCTTCTATGTACCAGACTAAGTGCTATGTGCTCATAAATAATATAGACTTGTCCCTTCTTCAAAGAGCCTAAGTCCAGGCATGGTGGTATTTGAGGAGAGGGCAAAATCTGGAAGAAAGTGGGACTGGATTTGACTATGACACTTTCCTTTTCTAGCTGGGTGTGACCTCAGTCAGGGACATTACTTCACCTCACGAGGAAGCCTTTTAGCTCATGTCAAAATGAGGACTGGCATGTGGGCCTTATTTGACATACACAATGCCTTACAAGGCCTGGCCCATGTCAGGCTGACACTGTTATTTTTCTTCTCTGTTTGCTATTGGTGCTGACAGCCCATGTTGCAAGCCAAAGAGTGATCATAGTGTTGTAATGCACAAGACCATAAGCACTGTGAGGGTACTTATTAGTAGCCTAAACTATCTTACTTATCTTTCATCATTAAAATGTGATCTCTGTGATGAGCAAGGGCTTTCCTGGTTTTGTTCATTGCTGTATCTGCAGCACCTGAAGTAGAACCTGACATGTTGGTGACACCAAGTAAATGTCTATTGAATGAATGAATGAATGAATGAATGAATAAAAGAAATATGCTTAGTATTTTCTAGGTACAAGAGTTTGACTTGCTCACTATAACTTTATTTCACTTATTTCAGGCTGCTTTTCCTTGCAGATTGCTGCCTATGTTAATTTTTCTCATCCTTAGCACTATTGACATTTTGGACTGGATGATTCTTTGCTGTGAGGACTGTCCAGTGGACTGTATGATGTTTGTCAACATCCTTGGCCTCTACCCACTAAATGTCAATAGTACTGCCCTCTCGATTTGTGAGAAACAAAAATGTTCTGTGGACCTTGCCTACATCCTCCAGGGCTGGGAGCATTGGGGGAAGCATCACCCTCAACAGAGAAACCACTAGTCTAAGCAGTAGCTTTAGTCTTGACAAAAAAGAAGCTCTCAAAGTCTCAGAAGGGATCATGAAGTTCATGGAGTATAACTCATACTATCCAGTAATTGTCCACACTAATCTATCTGTGCCCACATTCTCTGACATATTCTCAGTGGCAACAGATGAGCTAACCATCTGTGTATCTTTTTACACACAGTGACAGAACCATTCTGAGCATAAATCTGCATGGTGTTGATGGCCATGGTACCCATGTGTATGCAATGCCGTTAGAGCCCTGAAAGCAATGCCCTTTCAAAAAGACAGAGGCACGTGAATGTCTCTACCTGTCCATCACATTCATACCCTGCCCTCTTCTTGATTCCCTTTGTATATATTGATCTCAGTCATCTCCCTGGCCCTTCCAGAACCATTTTGGAAATGGGAGGCAGGAAAGAAGAAACAAGAAGAGAAGAAAAAGGAAAACAGAGGTAAGAAGACCAGGAGCATAGTACAACTCAGAGTTAACACTCAGCATAATTAGTCTTGACCCTTGTTGGATCTGTTCTATCAGTTCAACCCAAAAATAAAGTTAGAATGGTTCTGCCACTGTCTACAGACAGTTGTTCTTTCTTTTCTTTTTATGTATAAAATTATTTAGAAGGCATCGGAAGATGCATCTCAGATTTCTCATAAGGACATATAATTGGTGTGAGATGGCACCAATTCTATTTTGGTGAAATAGAATAAAAAATACACTAGCATTACACCAAATAAAGCATTTGAGTTGGAAAACAGGAAGGATGCATTTTCCTGCCATGTGTAAACTATAGAACGACCTGAGGCATGAGTCTCTACTAGCTTGCCTCTCTCACTTTAGCCTGAATCTGAGTAATTTGCTATCCCAATTCATTGATTCACCTGTTCTAAGCCTGGTGTTAAGTTTTCTTTAGCTTGCAAAGCAGGCAGTTTCCCATGAGGCACCATTCCTAAGGGAGTAAGGATAATTTTTGCACTCTGCCTCTAGAAAGCATACATATTTGGAGTGTTCCTAGCACTTGTTCCTAGCACAGAAAACCATCACACCAGTTGCTGGTTGACCCTTCTCAACCAGCTTCACTGGTGACATGGACAGGGCTCTTAGAACATTAGTTGAATGACTCTTGGGTTGAAGCTGGCCTTTCACTGCAGGCTCTCCCTAGGCAGGGTTTAGTTAGTTCCATTTCAGCAAATGGAGCTTGCCTACTTCTCTAACTTTCCTCTTGTTCCTCCTCCTTTCCCCCACCCCCAGAATTTTGATTCCTCTGACATCTGTGTGCAAACATGTGAAGCATGTTTATATATTGCTCATTGTCAGTGAATTTATATTTGCTTATTATATAGATGTAGTCATGCTATAGTGTAATGTTCTTCTGAAGGAGCTTCAGTAACAGAACACTATAAAAAGAATTAAAATGAGAAAAAGTAAAAGGCAGTATAGCTTGGTGGTTAAAAGCTTAGCCTCTGGTCCAGCTGCCAGCAAAGCTTCAAGTTCTGGATATATGACCTTAGGCAAGTTACTAATGTCTCCATGTCTCAGTCTCTCATCTATAAATGGGTATAATTAGTTGCCATCTTCAGAGTGGTTGTAAGGATGGAAAAGGATAATACATAAAAGTGCTAAGCATATTACCTGATGAATCATTAGCACTCAATAAATGCTAGCTATTAGTAAAAGAGATTTCTCAAGAATAGTTTGGTATGTTTTTTAATGTTTTCTGCTCTGACTCGGTTTTCTTTTTTATTTTAGGTTCCATATTTTGGGCGAAGAATGCATCACATGTGCCCATGTATGCCTGGCTTAGCCTGTTTACGGGCTTCATTCAACCGATTTGTCTGTTTAGCCCGAAAGTAATCACTTTAGACTAGAAACTTTAAATGTGAACAGCCACATGATTTCTGTAAAGTCTATTTTTTTTTGTGATTGTACCAAAAAATAGTATACCAGAAAGAAATGCTATTACTTCCTCAACTTTTCAAGTAACCTCTCTAGCTTTGATTTTAAATGACCTCTTTTTATTGAAAGGATTTTAACTTTGGATAGAAATGTAACGTGCAAGGTGTTACAGAATTAGTTCTCATTTCCCTGTTTGTTTTGATTTGGTTTTGCTTTTTAAAATGCCAGTAACCTATTTTCACAAAAATGAGGAGAATAAGAATTTGATATCTTGTCACAGAAACATTTTGTAAAAAACTCTCCTTCTCCCATCCCTGCCCCCTACACATACACACATCCTTGTTCACTCTTTGGTCTTTTGTCTCTCAATCATCAAAGAATTTTAAGGACCTCAGTTTATTCTTTGCCATTTCTCTCTCTGCCCCTCTGGCATTTAAAAATGTATACATGTCCTGGCTGGCGTAGCTCAGTGGATTGAGCACGGGCTGCGAACCAAAGTGTTGCAGGTTCGATTCCCAGTCAGGGCACATGTCTGGGTTGCAGGCCACGGCCCCCAGCAACCTCACATTGATGTTTCTCTCTCTCTCTCTCTCTCTCTCTCTCTCTCTCTCTCTCTCTCTCTCTCTCTCTCTCTTTCTCCCTCCCTTACCTCTCTAAAAATAAATAAATAAAATCTTAAAAAAAACATTTAAAAAATGTATACATGAGAAGGGGTGAGGGTGTTGTCCATATCCTTTAACTTGCTGGCAGAATCACTGATGGGAATCAAGCTTTTTTACTGATACTTAAACAGTGAAGAGTGTATAGTTGAACTAGACACTACAAAATTACATGGGGTGGAAGTTGGGGTGCTGCTAGACTCCACTGAACCTGTCTATGCAAAGGGGACCTCAGGTCTGCTGTATGACTATATGAGGACAGAAGGAATGGAAAGTCAAATTAATTTAGTCCAGATTTGTAGACTTGGTTTCTCTTTTAAGAGTTTCCAGTACAGTAGCAATTTTCAACCAGTGTGCTGTAAGAATTTTAAAAATATGCAATACCTAACTATTGAGTCAGGGACACTGACCTCTTTTCCCTTAGATTGTCAAATAAAAAATGACAACAGCCAATACAACAATAGCCATCTTGTGTGAATGAATCAAAATTATATCTATTTTTGTCAGATCAGCAAAAAATAATATATTTTTGGCATGCTGCAGAATTTTAGTAATTAGTTTATGTGTGCCATGAGATAAAAAATGTTGAAAATCTTCACAATACAGTTCTACATTTATTTCTTTTTATGAAATTAATTTTGTTAGAAAAATCTCAGAGTTAGAGATGTTCCCTAAAATGTCCCTTGGAGAGGAAGTATTGATTTTAACCTGGCATAACACTAGTTATCACTTTTAAATTGGTATTAAGTTGAATTTAAACTTCATTTGTAACCAAACGTTCTATTATAATGGATTGCCTAACATCCTGTCATTTGTACCTATGTAAAAATTCTGTATTAGAATAATGACAGTATTGTATATCATTTGATTTTAATATTATATTTTTATTTTTGTCACTGTTGTCTTCAGTTTTTATTACAAGCATATTTTTATATAGCCCACAATTGGCAGAGACTCTTCAGTTGGTAAAATAGCACTAGTAGTATGGTGCATTTTTATTTTACATATAGGAAAGTTCTGTTTGCATGAATTTTAAGGTAGTACAAAAAACTATATAAATCAGTAAAGTTTGGGAACATGAAGGGAAATTATGACATGCAAAACTGATTACAATCAGAAATGGACTCATGAGATTTCACTGTTTGATTCAGCCAACAGTGATGGAGTGTTCATCATGTGTGCGTAGGCAGGGTGCTGGGCGCGAGCCATACAGTGATGCCAATGTAGCCTAACCTTGAATAACCCACCAAGTATTGTAAATGGAGTCAGCATCACAAATAAACAACTTATGAACTCTGTTTCACTGACTAACTATGACCATGCCAATCTATAAACTGTTTTTTAAAAAGTGTTCATGTTGTATTTATTTACTTAGCCAGGGCTTACAGTTGTACATTGTGTGTAACTTCACCCCTGAAGCTAACATGCTCATAAATGTATGGGATTTTGCTGTACTAATTGCCATACTTGGTCACAGATGTATTATTTTTGGTTGTTTAGTCTGTGTTCAAGAAGCATTCCTTAGCAGGGGTGTCCAACTCACAGCCCATGGGCTGCATGAGGCACAGAATGGCTATGAATGTGGCCCAATGCAAAATCATAAATTTACTTAAAACCTTTAAATATTTTTCTTGCTCATCAGTTTTCATTAATGTGTGTGTATTTAAAATGTGGCCCAAGACAACTCTTCTTCTTCCACTGTGGCCCTGAGGCACTAAAAGTCTGGACACCCCTGCTACGTTGTTAGAAAAATTATTAGACTTCAGCAGGTGGAATTATCTGTAAAGAATCAGGTACGTCAGCAATTTTGCTAAATGTTGTTTTCACATAATGTTCAATACATCCTTTTTAATAAGTGGTCAAAACTTAATTTGATCAATCGTCCTTTTTCATCTAACTAAAAAAACATGTATTCACCTTTTTTAAAAACTTTACTTTTACAAATACCAACTCAATTTTTTAAAGTGGTAGACAGAATGTACACAGTTAAAAGAATGAGGTGAAGTTTGTGTAGAAAATTTAGCACTGGTACCTACTGACTCACTACCATTCAAAGAAAAACAGAACTTTGTCATTTGTTACCTCTCCTCTTGGTTATTATTTTTATTAAAGAATAATGTTCCTTTTTTATTGTATAGTTCTGTTTGGCCATTATTTTAACCTGTCACCAGAGTTAGCACCTTTCAAATGTTTCCAAAAATACTTGTATTCAGCCCTTACCAGTGTGTCTCAATAGATTGGGTGTCATCCCAGAAACAGAAAAGTCACTTGTTCAATTTCTGGTCAGGGCACATGCCTAGGTTGTAGGTTCTGTCCCCAGTCTGGGTACATATAGGAGGCAACTGATCCATGTTTCTCTCTCACATTGATGTTTCTCCCCCTGCCTTTCCTCCCTCCCTCTTCTTCTCTCTAAAAATAAATAAAATCTTTTAAAAAAATTATAATTGTGCTTCATGGAGATTCTTTAAAATAATTCTATGCCAAGCTCTTTCTCCTAGACCCTAGGATGATCTCTCACTGAAGCTGGGACTTCATAGGCCAGAATTTCTACAAGATAAGGCAAAATGAGAATTTACACAAGAAAAACTAAGGCAACAATGTACTTTGATGTGGTATTATGAAAGGATAGAATCCATTTTAATATAAAAATGAATCTTATGCCAGAAGCTACTGACCAAACTCAATTCCACCTTTAGATTTCATTGCAAACATTGACTTTCATGAAAACTGTAATTTCTGACTTTGACTTTCTTTTTTTATTTTATTTTAATCATTGTTCAAGTACAGTTTTCTCCCTTTTACTCCCAATCAACTTTCTTTAAAAATTAAAAAAAAAAACATTTAAGCCATAGAAAAGTTTTTGCCTCTCTAACTGAAGACCTTCACCCTTCCCAAAATTTCAATATAGTTGTCTTATTGGAACATGACAAAGTCCAGTGATAGATCAAACACACAAACTAGTTTTCTTCATTGGTTTTAATATCAGAAATCTCATCCACTTGTTTCTAACTTTATTTCTTAGAAGATTGAAGTTTGATTTTAAAAAGGACATTTTTGGTATTCAGTGACATAACCAAAAGCAGGTCCATCTGCTTGCTGCTACAAAAGCCAGTATTCAAGAGACAGGTGCTGGACTAAAGGAAAGTTGTTTATTCATATGCCAACATCTGGAAGATAGTAGGGGGTTCATGTCTCAAAGCCCATCTTCTATGAAGATGGGAGGGACTCACATCTCAAAGCCCCATCTCCTGGGAAGAGGGGGTACTCTTGTCACAAAGTCCAACTCCACCTCTCAGTGGAGGCAGAGGTTTTTATAAGGAGGGAGAGGGGAACAGAACAAGGAAGAGAGAGATCAAGGAAGGGGGTTGAAAAGTTCTCAATGTACAGACGAGTACAGTCTATTCCAATAAGGCAAATGATGTGTATCATCATCCAGTGTGCATCATCCTGGTTTAGTCATCTTGGATTCATGTCATCTTTGTTTTATGTCATCCTGACTCCACCATTGAAGGTCAGCAAATCTCCTGGAGTTGGGATGCCTGATGGTCAGACTTTGTATCTTTCCAAGTTAGTTCCTAGGATTCTTATACAAACGTGTTTACCTACAAGCTACATATTAGAGTCAGCACTTATCTGAATTAAAAAAAAAATAAAGAAACAAACAGTGTCAAAAGAATGGTGGAGTGGGTTACAATTTCCCATGGTTACAATTTTCCACTGTTATAATGAGGGTCACTGCCTAAAATTCCCTGGCAATATTTTATGATCTTTCTGTTTCAACATGATACCATGTATTTTAGGTAATATCCTCAGAATAAGTGTTTCTTTTACATTCCCATATCTTCTCCCTAATTTGTTAATCCTCAGTACTCCCTACATTAAAGAGAACTGTATTCTAGTATTTTTAACATAACCCAGAGATGACAATCCTTAACAACATAATCCTTAAATAAAGTTTTGTATCCCATACTGCCCACCCCCAAAGAAAGTCAGGGTACTTTCAGTGTACACACTTCCCAAGTTTAGAGATACCATGAATACGCTGTTCTTAAATCTTGTTGCCATTTCTCCATCATCTCCTGCCCTCAAAGATTCTGACATGACATGCCTGTGGTGAAGCCTGGGTGTTGGAGATTTTTAAAGTCACAAGGTGCACCCACAGCTGAGAGCCACTGACAGGCTACTGTTTTCTTGTGAAATTAGAAAACACCTTTCTGATTTAATTAGAAGTCAAGAGAACAGTTAAATGTTTTTCTTTTCTTGCCGATCTCAAAAGTTCCTATGACCCTCAAGCATAAATGAATGCTTTCTCATTGTCCCACCACTATTCCTAGGTGGAAGCTCACAGAAGGGTCCCACTTGAGAATTTTAGTGGCAGTTACATGCTCACGTGAGGAGCCTATTCAAGGATGAGTGGGTCCTTGTTCCATGACCTCTCACTTCTTCTAGGTGCCTCTAGCCAGGTGACTCATCTTCCAAACATCCAGGTAAATGCTCCCCTCTCCCAATCCCTCTTTCCCCTACACCTCAGAATTGCATTCTGCTTTACTGGGCTCACAAATCATCAGAATACTTCAGAAAACCCAATACAGCAGATTGTAACTGAATAACTCAGAGTGGCAAGCATTTCAATAAAACATGTATATGTCACAAAAGATGGAAAGCAAGAAAGAAGAATATCGAGGTGGAGCATGATTTCTGTCAGTAAAATGCACAGGCTAACTTCTATTATGTACATCCTGAGTGGACATCCTG